AGTGCCGCATAGAGGGGGAGGATCACCTCCTTGGACCTGCTTGAGATGCATCTGTGGATGCATGACAAGGTATGGTTGGCCTTCCTGACTGCATCCCCACACTGCCGGCCCATGTTCATCTTGGCATCAATGACAATTCCAAGATCCTTTTCTGCCTCTGCACTGACGGGAAGGGAGTTCCCCAGCCTGTAGGTATGCTGCTGGTAAATTGATGGGACAAAATGTGGATTCTTCTGCTCCAAAATCTCTTACCAGTTAATCTCAAAGAGAAACTCCCAATAGCAAAATAGCAGGTCAGGGACTATGATACAAAAGGGAGCGCTCTTTATTCCAGCCTACAGAGGTCAGTTGTATGCAAGTATACCAAATAAATCATTACAATTTTTGTTTTGGGACTTTCTCCTCACCCATCTTTTAGTATTGTCTAGTTTAATACATGGTGAATAGGATTATTTAGTTAAGCACTGGCACGGGCTGGAACCATACAAGTAGCTAGACTAGAAACTCTTCTGGTTTTACTGGGGTAAGGTCCATATTGACTAAAGCAGTGCCAGGACACACAGTCAAACAAACAAACACAAAACAAATTTCAGCTTTTTACAATAGTCATCCAAGCTGCACAAGCCAAGCCATCTCCTTTATCAATCTCATCCTCCAAGTATTTCAGTTTTTGTGAAGCTGAAGTCTGAAAACAGGACCATTTTAGTCACACAGCCCCTTAAAGCAGCCATAGCAAACTACCTGCATCTCTTTCCTCCACCAGTTTTTCAGCTACAGGCCTTTCCGCAATAAAGAACTGATTTTAGTATTGTCTAGGACCTGCAGGTCTTGAAAACAGGGCTGGTAGACTTTGGAGGGGAATTAAATACCTGCTGAGATGAATGGGTGACTTAACACCTCAGTCATCCTCCTGCCCCATCCCCTTTCACCAGCCATAACACTGAGTGGAGTGCTTGATGCTCTTCTTCACTTCCTTTTACTGCCTATACCTGGTAGATATACTTCTCATAAATCATTGACTACCAGCTTCCTTCCTTCTCACAGTCTCAGCTTTCTTGGACCAAGAGGGCATAAAGCATAGCTGAGTGGCCCCAGGGATGTTTCCAGGAAGCCCCTAGCCTTAGAAACAACCCCATTCATATCCCCAACTGCTACTGCTTTCTTAAAAAACAAGACAAATTTGCTGCCCCAAAACTTTGTGAGTACAGCCATGTTTGAGAGGCAGGGCCTCATAACCTTCCAGAATGCCAACTACATCTAAACTCGAACGTCTGAAAAGCTGGAAATACAGAGCTGAAAAACATAGCAGCCCAAGTGCACAGCCTCAACTCTGCCACCTCTCAGTGCTGCCTCTGCCCATGTCTGATGCCCTGTAACACCCCCTTACAGATTACCTAGAATGCTATGAAGACACACAAGAAAACAGTAGAGAAAAATGTCAACCTGTGTCCTCCTCACTAAGGCAAAAGTTGATTGGGGGGCAGGCTTAGCAAGCGTGAGCTGGCTAGCCTAGATTTAATCTTTTCATCTACACATTGCAAACCACCTCAAACTACCCAGGTATTATGGGTCTGGGACTCTTCTGCAGATTTCCTGTGAAATGCCATTCACACTTACATGCATACTGAGCCATATAACATCAGGCTGTTATAAATCCATGGGGCATTAATAGACTGTCATGCTCCTCTGCTTGTACAACTCCACATGGAAACAAGGGATTCGGGAGCTGACTGCATAGATTCATAGATGGATCTCTCCCCATGTTTCAGAACAAACTGTGACAGTTGCAAGTCATTCCTTTTTGCTATCTCTACCAGTGTGAAGGAAGTACATGCAGATGAATGACAGAAGGTACTTTAGGAGGGGAGAACACACCACAACCAACAACACATTTTCTTAGCTACCTGTTATATCTGAACCCTTGGCTGAAGAATACGCATGGTACAGCTTCAGTGACTTGCCAGCTTCAGATAGGAAGCAAGATTGAGTACAGGGCAGGACTGGCTTGCATCTTAACTCTGTATTTTCTCTCAGAGATTCTGGCTGATCCCGCTTCTCCAGAGCCTTTTGTCTGTCTAGGCACAGTTTCAACCTGCAAGAAGTTAACAGCCAGTCTGATCTATCTATTTAGATCTATGATTCTATTGCAGCTGCTCTGGAAAGAGATTCTTATGGTTTGTTTATTTCTCTTTGCAGCCTGTTCAGTATTTGCAAAAAGAGGGTCCTTGGTGTGGGAAAGGGTGAACCTTCTCTGTGCATTTAGGTGGGTTTCTTTTTAAATTAAATTTCAGGTTTTGTGCTTTTTGGCATGGAGATCATTGTCGATTCAGCTCTTTTTAGCTGCCAAATTGATTACACCTTGTGTCAATATGTACTTAGCGCCTATTAGTGTGTGTGCATCTCTCTTTCTCTCATTTCTGCCTTCTGATCTATAATTTCCCAGAATAGAACATTAAAATAGAGGAGGGATATCAATGAAGTAAAAAAAGAAGAACTGGGAAAAAAGCTTATCTGGTGAAATCACAAAAGCTGGTAAATCTACTGACCAAAGAAGCATCAGAGTCTTGTCTATTCTTTTTCTTAGAAGCCAGGGTAGATTTGCACCTTGAAGACTAAGTAAATCATAGTTCTATAGTATAAGTTTTTGTGAGCCTAGGCTCTTTCCATACTCACATTTTTTACCAGTAGGAAAATCTGTCAAAGTTGAATAAAAACTAAATCCTGAAGTGCCCCGTTTCACCAGAGGGATGCTCCATCTCTACTGCAAAGGTGATATATTGAGATGGGAACACATACAAAATTAATCATTTGTGTAATGCCTTGTTCCTGGATATTACCAGTGGTTTTGTACAGGGGTGCTCCACCTCCAGCCTGCAAGCCAAACGCAGCTTGCAGAGCCATTGCATCTGGCCCACGGGTTCCCCATGGGTCAGGAAATT